CTGTTTGTTTCCTCTCCACCTATCCTCTCCTCTATCCCTCTTCTATCCGCCTCCCACTCTCTCCCTATTTATTTCAAAACCCCCTTCCCCTCCCCCTTTTCTGATGAAGGGTCTAGGCCCGAAACGTCAGCCTCTCTGCTCCTATGATGCTGCTTGGCCTGCTGTGTTCATCCAGCCCTGCACCTTGTTGTCTCGGATTCTCCAGCATCTGCAGTTCCTACTATCTTTGATTTGGGTATTTCCCAGTCATATTTTTGTGACATGGCCCAGACTCGGTCATTCAAAGTGTCTGTTACAGGTGAAATGAGTATTGATATTTTGCTGGTAACTAGGTGTGTGACGCGACAGGACTAAAATTATTGGCGGTATATTCCCTCCCAAACTAAGAACATACCAGCAAGTTCTCCGGCTTGATATCCCTGTGCACAATGTTCAGGCTGTGCAGGTATTTGAGTGCAGAAACTAGGTTGTACACCATTGCACTGGCATCCCGTTCTGTGTACTTAGTTGATGATGTAATGGCATCAAACAGATCTCCACCCTGTCAGAAAAACATTAACAACAGACAAGAAATAAGCCACGTACCACAGCAGGGAACAGTGTAATATACACTTTGATTGTTGACACTCACATTGCACCTTCAGCAAAAATTCACAGGAAGAATTTAGACCGGGAATTACATTTGTTGTGTCCTGAATTTGCAAGGGAATTTGTTCCTGATCTTCTCAGGAGGTGGAGCCTCTACCAAATCATAGCAAAGCGAACGTGTGGTACCCAGAGATGGGGATCCCATATTCAAGAATACCTTATGATCCTGTAAGATCAGGAGGATATTGGAGAAGTGATCAGTAAGCCCAGAAGGAAGGTGCATACTTCCCTCAGGAATATCAGCTTTGAAGGCCATCTTTGTGCCTGAGGCCTGCATCCCCCTGATTTGTTCTGGAAAGCTGGAATTACTTTGACCCCAGTTGAGCTATGATTTTATTTTCAGGGAAAGATGCAGTGAGTTTGACGTGTCTTCCTAAAACGGGTCGATTTCAACTTGGATTGTCACACAGTTCCCTAGGATAGGTAGCTTCCCTTGATGTTCCCTTGTGAGTGCAAATAATTGTAGATGAACAGGACAAAAAAAAAGATGGAATTGTTTTTGCCGTCAATCATAAGACATGCCCGATATTGAAGTATATGGAACGGAATATCGATCAATGGCAGCTATATTTATGTAGCGCCATTAACAGAACAGTATTGTCATCACTGGTCAATACCAGGAACCAGATGCATGATCCTAAGGCCGAATCTCCTTCAGATCCCTCACTCTTCCTGGCAGCAATTCAAATCCACCACCCACCACACCATCGGTTCAAGCTATGATCATCATGTCTAGGGGGAGAGGATAGCAACAGGGGCCTTGTGCTATACCAACGTCTAATGGACCTTCACTATTGATGAGAACTGACCAAATTGAACAAAATGATTTGTTGCCGCAATATCAATTATTGCTGCTCCCACCTTCCTTCCCATGAGCTCATTCCTGATTGGCTGAAGCTTCCTGTCACTCTCTAACTTGCAGCTGGATTGGCTGCTGCCTGCACAACTGTCAAATGAAGGTGGACTCCAATTGAAAGGAGGGTGACTTGTGGAGAGTTTGCAAATCCTCGTGGATTGAATATCTGGAATCATTGAACATTATTTTGTTTTTAAATTCAGTGTCCAGGAGGTTTTCCCAGTGGGTGCAGATGCTGAATGGGTTGGCCCCAATTCTCAGGGTGCAGCACGATACAAGAGCTTAAACTGAACACAAGGCCTGAGTTAAAGGGGAGGGCACTCAGTGAAACTGCAAACCCAGATAGTTGAGCAATTTGTAGCAAACTGTCAGGACACCAAGACATTTGGTGAAAATACTGGTATTGTCCCAAACAAACCATAATGTCTGATCACCCTAGATAGGAGTGAGACTTTGAAAGCTTGTGTCTTTAAATAAACCTGTTGGACTATAACCTGTGATTTTTGACTTTGACCACTCCAGTCCAACACAGGTACCTCCACATTCTGATAATTTAGCAACAGTGGAGGAGTTGAGAGATGGTGGTGGTGAGATAAAACTGAGTGTTATTAGCTTACATTTGATATTAATGTTACACTTTTGGATAATGTTGCCACTCAACATATAACAAGTGACTGATAGGATATCACCAGTTTTTCAATTTGTTCACATTGAATCTCACCCTCTGACATTCTCTTGACTCCAGCGACCCTAGGTACTATCAGTACTGGATATGTCAGTTAGCACACAGGAACGTGGACCCTGCTGTTTTTCAGCCTTGTGGGTACAATAGCTACTACTCACTTGATTGGTTAAATTCTTTGTGAATAACAGATAAAAAACACTCATGAATGCAAATTGAGAGAATAATTTTAATTTCCAAATGCTTTGAACAGCATCTTTGATTGGTGTCCTTTAAGGAATGAGCTCCACTTCACTTAGATTACAAAGTACTACAGGTCACACTCAAAATCCAGTTCAGATCTCAGATGTATCTTAATCAGAAAATGAATCTAAATTTGACTATTAAATCTGGAAAATTAGGATTTCAGTAATGGCATTGATAACTGAAATCCCAACTATGCTAGTAGATTCTGCCTTGAGATGGTATTGAATTTTATGCAACATAGAGGTTGTTTGGAGTGAGCGGAGAGCTGAATTCACTGGGCACCTGCTCTGATTTCCATGTCTAGTTTTCTTGACGTCTAGCTTGTTTGGTAAAATAGGAAGCTGAATATTAATGAGACAAGTTGGGCTGTTAACAAGATGTTTAACAAGCCCTAATCCTCCTCCATTGGTAACTTGCCCCTGTCAAGTATGAAACTCGCCATACTGCTTGTCAAAGTGCTTTCCGCTATCAATATGGGTCTTTTTTGGCTTCTTTTCTGATTCTTCTGTAAATCTTGCAATAGTACATGTTGCTCAGACCCTTATAAGATTCCACCAAATGTTTCAATATCATTTTGACATGGAATAAAGTCCTGCTGGATTGGTGATTGTTCTCCTGTTCTTAATTTTACACATAACAGCCATAATACAATTTCACCCAACCTACCTATCTCTTCCACTTTCCTTCTAATTTTCAAAGCCTTCGAATGCGTCTTGAATCTTGATCATACACTCTTGCTATCATTTCAAAGGAGCTGAAGGCTTAAAATTTCATGGTCACTTCCCATTGTCAACATTGCAAGTTTGATTCCACCAGACAGCACAGCTCAGTCACTACCTCTGCGGTGAATCAGAGCTAGCAAAGACATTCCCAAGTGTACACACCTTTATCTATACACTCTGCCAGCTGATTTGCAAAGGGAAGGCTGGATACCAGCAGTCCATTCCTGATGGAAGAAAAACTGCCTTACATGCACCCTTTTCATCTATCTCAAAATCTTAAGTAATCAGGGACAGTAAAACCAATACCCATTTTTATAATTTAGGTCATAACAGTGAAAAGAGAATGCATCAGTGATTACTCAACTCTGCAAGCCTGTAAACATGGTTACTTTTTTTTGATCATTGCCCAAATTCAAATTCAAAGTCCACAACACATCCCTGGTGAAAACAGTGGAAAGTCTGCTTTTGCGTAGCTGCCCTTCCTTCTCGCAAGATTCACAGCCTCATTGGATTCTAAGACATTTTGTATATGGGTATTATGACTGACTGTTAAAATCTATCTTCAACTCCCTGGCTGTATAATTGTGAAATTCTATTTTTGACTCTGAATTTTTCTGTGTGAGAATACAGTATGAAAATTAAGACATAGATATCAGTCCATGATTTTCACAAAAATCATGATTTTCAAATTTGGAGCTATGGCACTACACTGGGACAAAGATTGCATCATATAAAATGGAAGTGGATTAATATGCACCATTAACTGTAATTAGTTCCACGAACTGGGATTAATTGCTTGAAGGGGTTGAAGAGGAATTCAACATATTTACTGGGCCCAGGGGCTTTTTTTCCCCTGTTTTTCTGTTGCCTTCCCATGTCCTTTGCCATGGAGCGTGTAACAATTTTCCTTCTTAACAAGGAATGGCAGTGGAAGATTAATTTCCAATGATTAGATATTGTATTTTGCTTTGTGATTTTAAATTTTGAACCATAAAGCCTCCACATTAAATTGTGAAAAGATTGCTTTTTAAAGATGCACAGCAGTGTGTACTTGAAAGCTGGAAATTTAAAGTGAAAATATAATTGTATCCATCAATCAAACACCATCAGTAACGATAGATCAGCAATCAAACAGTACCTGAGGGAACATCATCGCTGTTAACTGCCAAGAACTCTGTATATCTCATTAAAGGATAACTATTTTAAAAAAGTTATAGAATAGGATAGTTGTTCATTTGCTGAAATTTTACGTGTGGTGCCGTCAAGATCTAATACTTAAATATCCAATTATATGCTTAGACTTTTACTGCTAACCTTAATTTCCATCACAAGAGAATTTAAGATATTATTCTCAGTTTACACAGTAATGAAAATGAGCACCAGCCTCTTGAATAAGATATTCAGTTTCTAATTTCTATTATTAATTAATGAAATAAGTCTTGTATGACTGCAAAGAGAAAAGGGCATTTGAAAACATTTTTATGCCACGCAGGATTTGAACCTGTATCAGTTACATTGCCAGGCCAACCCAGCCATGCTCCAGTTGCCTCCTATTGCACAGAAGAAAGATTTAATCAGACTGAATAATGTTAGCTGAATCCAGTTCATACAGCTGTTTCTACATTCAGAAATATGATAATGAGAGATCTAATGCTTGCATCATAAACACACTCTGAAACTCAGTACACCCAGCAGATCATGTGCTGAGTGTTTATTCCTTACTATTTCAGGCACTTCTGCAGCCCAACCAGTGTCAGAGGAGGTGCTGCATACTGCCATTATGGTCATTTCCTTCTGGTTTTCAACTTCCTTAAAGTGGAGCCGGGAGTAGAAATACTTATTCCTTGTCCCACAACAAAATTGCAGGCTGCTGGAATTCTGTGCTCATGCCTTCTCATTGCATCCAACCTTTTCTCTGCACCTCCCAAACTGCTGGTGTTATAACATGCCCAAATGGGCCTCGAGTGTTTAGTATCTGCTGCTTTACCAAGGTGAGAAACAAGGCCTCACCTGGTATAAGCCTTGGGCCTAGGCATCTGGTTTATCTGCCAAATTGTCACCAATCCTGTGTCGGAAAACAAGCACAAACAAACTTCTTTCCAGATTTTCACTTCAGCACCAGTTTGATCACTAATTCAGCATATCTGTTCAGGATGATTCATAAGACCATAAGAAATAGGAGCAGAATTAGTCCTTTTGGCCATTGAGACTGCTCCACCATTTGATCCTAGTTGATATGTTTCTCAACCCCATTCTCCTCCTTTCTCCCCATAACCCTTGAACACTTTACTAATAAGAATCTATCTCGGTCTTATACACACTCAATGACTTGGCCTCCACAGTTTTCTGCAGCAATCAGTTCCACAGATTTACCACCCTCTGGCTGAAGAAATTCATTCTCATTTCAGTTCTAAAGGGTCATCCCTTCACACTGAGGCTTGGGTCCTAGTATCTCCTACTAGTAGAACACCTTCTCCGCTCCACTCTATCCAGGCGTCACAGTATTCTGTAAGTTTCAATCTGATACCCCTCATTCTTCCAAATTCCACTGAGTACAGATCCGGAGACTGCAACTGTTCCTCCCATGACAAGCCCTTCATCCCCAGGATCATTCTTGTAAACTTCCTCTGGACCTCCTCCAATGTCAGCACACCCTTCCTTAGATAAGAGGCCTAAACTGCTAATAGTATTCCAAATTCCATTACAGACAATTGTTCCTATTTTAGGGAGAGGTGAAGTTTGCAGTGCTTGATATCTGCATGTTGGGACAAGAACATCTGACTTTGGGTAGCAATCAAGAGTTTTTAAATGAGTAAATGGAATTTTATTTTACCTGTAACAAACTCATTTCCAATTTCTTTAGGTCCTCTTACCTTGACTAACTCCATTACTAGGTACAGTTCTGTTGGTGTGTCCACCTCTTCTATTAACATGATGATATTGGGATGTTTAACCCTCCGCAGAACTGCCACCTCATTCTCAATTAAGTGCTCCTAAAAAAACAAAGCACAGTGGAAATCTCATTTGTAACAACAAAGTGACCTTAATTCTAAACAATAACAACTGTACTCCAATTAGGATAAAACAACAAGGCTCCACATTCAATTTCCATCAAAGTGAAACTCCTTTTCCCTTACTTCGATTGACAACTGATAATTAAAAAAATTATCTGATCTCTTTAGAATATATAAATGGTCCTCCATTTCTGAGTTATCCTGAGTTGCTCTAACTTATTCATTTAAGCTCATTAGGTTGTTTGGGCTCACTATATTGGTTCACAGATGAAAAATGGTGACTTGGGTGAGGTACCAAAGGGAACTTGGCACCCATGGACTGTGCATTTGTAAATGCGGATGTACTAAAATCAAATAATGAACTCAGACGTCTTGAAAAAAAAGTGAGAAAATTATAAGGAGAATTGGATGTTCAGCTTCTCCCTCCTCCTCAAGTTCCTCAGCTGTCTTAACAGAAGCTGCTACCTTTGTAACAGCTTCCACAATGGCATTGTTGTCTATTGTTGCAACACAAGATTCAGCATCATCATCAGCAGTAGCTGCAGTGGTGTTCCACTTCTAATAATAATTTTGAGAACAGTGCGGCATTGGCATTATATTCTGCGACATCACAAAGTGCAAGTCCATAGAGGCTGTTACCATAAGCTTCAAACAAAATTGCACACATGAAGCAATTCTGGATTGTTTCACTCTTTACCATATCCCAGGCTTTCTTCAGGATTCTCGCTGCTTGAAGCAAGTCTGTGCTGAAGTTTTCACTGGATGCGAGGCAGGTGCTTTTCTTATGGGCAAGCAACTTGTATTAAAATTATTTTAAATTTCTAATTATATCTTGGACCACTGGCTGAGCAGTTAAAGTACTGGGTGGATGTGCCTTTCTATGGCTTTTAGTTCTTGGATGTCAGGATGGGCTGAGCAGTTATCCACGAGTATCAGGATTTTGCGTTTCTGGAACTGCAAGCATTGGTCAAATTGCTGAACCCATGAATTAAAAATTGTACATTTCGTCTTAGCCTTTTGCTTTGCTTCATAATTGGCTAGGAAATAGTTGATGTGGTTTAAGCCCCTTGACTTTTTGAACCCATCGATGGGTAACCATGTTTTTTCAGTTTTGGACATGTTTGCAGCAACAAGATGTTTTGGTTGCCTACTAGCAACTGCAGCTTGTTCCTTGGCACAGTAAGTTTTATCTGTTGTGCATTTGTAGAAGTAGGTAATGTTATCCACATTACAGATATCTACTGGGTTATATTCTTGAATAAGTTCTTGGACATGCTTAATCCTGAAATGTCTGCAGATTAACCTTCCCCACAAAGCCGTTTGTGAATGCGATTATTTCAAAATTTGAACCAAAAGCAGGCATTTCTAGGAGTAAAGATGTCAACATTTATTTACTTTGCAAAGCTTTAAACTTCTTCTAAATCTTCTTTTGTTAGTCCCTTGCTTGGGTTGGCTTTAATTATATTGTTGTACCAAGTGAAGAGTGCCTTCTTCAATCTCAGATATTTTGCAAGTTACACCTTTTTGATGTTAGTATTCCATTCTCTCATAATTTTCTTTAATCTTTTCAGCATTCTTTATCCAACCACTCGCTGTAGTGTTTGACAATGAATTCAGCTTGAATTTTTTGCATGTCCTGCCTTCATTGAGTGCTTTCAATGCCCTGCATTTGGTTTTAAGTTCTTGAAAATTACGTTGTCTTTCTTCGCCGCAGATTTTCGATAGCAATAAGCAAAATGTGTGCTTCCTTAAACTGCAGCATGCGCTTCAGTCTTAATAGGATTAATGCTCCTTTTTATTTTCTGTTGTTTAAATTATTTTTAATTTGAAGCATTAAACACCCATGATGTTGAAACACGTGGGTTGATTCAAATAGAAGACAATAGGTCAGGAACAAAGATCACACTCAACTCATCAGGTTATCCCTCTATGTTGACATGGTGTTGGAATCATGGAATCATAGAATCCCTACAATGCGGAAAGAGGCCATTCAGCCCAACAAGTCTACACTGACCCTTTGAAGAGCATCTCACCCAGATTTACACAACCCCATCCCTCCCCGTAATCCTGCCTTTAGATGGCTAAACACCTAGCTTGCACATTCCTGGGCACTACAGGGCAATTTTAGCATGGCTGATCCACCTAAACTGTACATCTGTGGAATGTGGGAGGAAACTGGAGCACCTGACGGAAACCCAGGCAGAGTCAGGGAGATGTGCAAACTTCAGTGCTAACCACTGATCTACTGTGCCACCCCATGAGCGTTAATGAGGTGGAAATTGCAAAGGCAAAGAGAAAAACAGATTGGCATCTTATTACGTGGTCAACAAAGGCAGAATGTTGACTCGCGTGGTGTTGAACTAAGTGGGTAGCTCTGTAATCACACCGTGTGCAGTCTGACTGCTGAAATGTTTCTGTCATTGGGACCAAAGTGAAACACACACTTGATCACATTTTCAAAAAATTCTAACAAATTGTTAGGCATGACTTCCCTCTGACAAAGCCACGCTGACTATCCCTGACTAACCCATGCCTTTCCAAGTGGGTATTAATTCGCTCCTTCAGAATTTTCTCCAATAGTTTCCCTACCACTGATGTGAGATTCACCGGTCTGTAATTTCCTGGTTCATCTCTACCAGACTTCTTGTAAAGTCGAACCACATTAACCATACTCCAGTCCTTTGGCACTTGCCTGTGGCCAGAGGGAATTAAAAATTTGTATCAGAGCCCCTGCAATTTCCTGCCTTACCTCCCACAGCAGATTGGGATGCAATTCATCTGGGGCAAGGGATTTGTTTATTTTTAATACCTCGCCATTTCCTTTGTCAAATTGTGCAAGTTTGTCACAGTCCCTTTTCCTGAATTCTGTACCTATGTTCCTCTTTTCCAGAGTGAAGACTGAAGAGAAGGATTCAATTAACACCCTTTGAATATCCTGAGGCTTCATACACAGGTCGCTCACTTTGTCCCTAATGGGCCCCACTCTTTCCCTGGTTAAAGTCTTCGCTTAAATGTATTTATAAAATATCTTCGGATTCTCCCTAATCCTGTTGCAAATGCTTTTTCATGCCCCCTTTTTGCTCTTCTGATTGCTTTCATAAGTTCCCTCCTGCACTTCCTGTATTCCTCTAGGGCCGACGCTAATTCGCTGCTCCTTTGGACTTGCTAAAAGCCTTTCTCTTCTTCCTCACCTAGTCCTAGATATTCAGGGTTCCCTGAACTTATTGCTCCTACATTTCCCTCTGAAGGATAAATGTTGGACCTGTACTCTCCCCAGCTCCTTTCTGAATGCTCCAGACTGCTCTGCTGTAGACTTATAGCCATATCCCAGAGGTTAATCAAACATTGGAGAAAAACAATACTCAACAGGACATTTTCTTACCTTACCACTGCACTTGGCCTTGTCGATTATTTTCAGTGCATACTCCTTGCCACTGGATCTAAGCAAAATACAGATAAAGAAATAACTTCTTTGTGGTACCAATGTCCTTTTCACTCCCCAAAAACAGTTTCAAATGATTTTTTTCTCTTTCAATGACATATCTCACTCCCTCTTCCTCAAGTATATATTCACATTATTTTCAGCTGAGATGCCAGCAGTGCCAAACATTTTCATGTTACCTTTCTGAGTTCTGATCTGATCCATTGCAAACTAACAGTTAATGATCAACATTCACTAATCTATGGGCAATTGTACCATTTTACAGATGGTTTCTTTTTAAAGCAATTTTGTGAAAAATTCAGTTCACTCCACTGCTCTGTTTATTTATCCACCAATTATCCAGAGAAATACTGATTGTTAGTGAGCATGTTATTGCTAAGCGGGTGCCGCTCAATAGCACTGTCAATTACTTTTTCCATCATTTTGCTGATGATCAAGAGTAGACTGATGAGGCAGTAATTGGCAAAGTTGGATTTGTCCTGCTTTTTGTAGATAGGACACTGATGTGCAATTTTCCACATTGTTTGATAGATGTCTGTACTGTAGCTATACTGGAACAGCTTAGCTAACGGTGTGGCTACTTCTGGTGCATAAGCCTTCCATATTATTGATGGAACGTAATCATGGCCCATAGTCTTTGGAGTATTTCATGCCTTCAGTCATTTCTAGTTAGCAAATTGGGTGAAGACTGACATCTGTGAAGATGCAGACTTCATGAGGAAGCTGAGGTGGTTCTAATGTTTCAGCATTGTTTTTTGCATTGCTATGTTAGGCTGTCTCATTATTGAGATGGGGGATGTTTGTGGAGAAGTCTCTTCTTTTTAGTTGTTTAATTGCCGACCATCATTTAGAGTTAGATGCAGAGGACTGCACAGCTTAGATTTGATCTGTTGGATGTGCGGTCACTTAGCCTAGCCGATCTCATGCTGCCTCTGCTGTTTGCTATGCAAATATTCCATAGTTGTAGCTTCACTGGGCTGACATCTCATATTTAGGAATGTTTGATGCTGCTCTTGGCGTACTCTTCTACACTTTCCATTAAGCCAGGTTTGACTTCCTCACTTTCTAGTAATGGCAGATTAGCCAGTACATGAAGTCACAGTTTGTGATTGAATACAATTCTGCTGCTGCCAATGACATACTGTGCCTCATCGTTGTCAAGTTTTGAGTTGCTAGATCTGTTTGAAGTCCATCCATTTAGTGCAGTGTTACCACCATACAACATGTTAAAACAGAACTTTGTCTCCACCAAGACTGTGTGGTGTTCAGTCCTACCAATTTTCTGCTGCAACAGGTAGATTGGTGAGAATAATGTAAAGCAGGTCTTTTTTCAATCTTTTTGGCTCCTCACCATCCGGTGCAGACCCAGTCAAGCAACTATATACTTTCAGACTTGACCAGCTTGGTCAGTAGTAATGCTACCAAGTCCCTCTTGGAAATAGCATCAAGGAGCCCGAGCAGAATTGAAGTCAATGGGAAGCATGGGCTGGTTGGAGTCATATCTAGCACAAAGAAGATGATCGTGGTTGCTGGGGATCAATCATCTCAGCCCTATGACACCATAGCATGATTTCCTCAGGGAGTGTCCTAGACCCATCTATGTTCACTATTTCTTCAAAGATCTTCCCTTCAACGTAAGGTCAGGAATTGGATGTTGAATGATAATAGCACAATGCTAGGCACCATTCATGACTAATAAGATTGCAAAGACCATACCTTTATATTTTCTGTACTTGTGATGGTGAACTAAAATTGAAAAATGGACTGTTTCAAAACCAAAGGGCAGGGGAAGGAATTGCTGCATCTCCAAAAACAGGTTACTGATGCTCATTGTGTATGGTGTTTACACTGTTGCTTTGGTCAAGCAGTGATGAAGCTGTTTGCAGATGGAATGGCACTGCACATGTGCTTGCAGAGTGAAATTTGGCCAATAACAGCAGCTGATTGGTTTCTCCAATTGTGACCGTTTGTGGATGTTAAAGATCATCAGTCTGCTGACAATTCTGATTGGTTCCTGGGAGGCTGAAAATCTTGTGGTGGGCATGAGACCATGAGAAGTCTTTGGATTGCTGAAAGACCAGGTGATGTCTCCCTCTCTTGTTCTCCCTCTCTGTGGTAAAAATACCTGAAGCCTGAAGAGAATCTGATTTAGAGTCATACAGAAACAGGCCCTTTAGTCCAACTTATCCATGCTGACCAAGTTTCCCAAACTAAAATAGCCCCACTTGCTGAATTTGGCCCATATGCCTCTAAACCTTTCCAATTCATGTACCTATCCCCAAGTGTCTTTTAAATGTTATAACTGTACCTGCATCCACCACTTCTTCTGGAAGTTCATTCCACAAACGAACCACCCTCTGTGTGAAAAGGTTGGCCCTCAGGTCCCTTTAAATATTTCTCCTCTCACCTTAAAAATATGCCCCCTAGTTTTGGACTCCCCATCCCTAGGGAAAAGACCTTTGCCATTCACCTTATCTCTGCCCCTCATGATTTTATAAACTTCTGTAAGGTCACCCCTCAAACTCCTAAGCTCCAGTGACAAAAATCCCAGCCTATCCAGCCTCTCCTTATAAATCAAACCCTCTGGTCCTGGCAACCACCTGGTAAATCTGGTGCTGAGGGTAAAGGGTTCTGAGGAAGGGTCACTGGACCTGAAACATTAACTCTGATTTCTCTCCACAAATGCTGCCAGACCTGCTGAGCCTTTCCAGCAATTTCTATTTTTGTCTCTGGTAAATCTCCCACCAGTTGCTTTCAGCTGTTGCCTTTAACCAGTAACTAAAAACTTTGCAGTCAGTGTACCAGCCATCCTGTGCCTCCTGCAAAAAAGTCAAGAGAACTGAAGAACAGAAAGTCCTAGCAAGTAAAAGGATCATCTCAGTGAGCTCTGTGGACTAGTGCTATTGAACTGTGAATCCCAGGTTTTTTTCCCCTTCTACGCATAAAATAAATGCTTTTTATTGTTCTGTGTCTGTACGTGTGTGTAGGGGTTTTAAAACAGGGTTACAGTTTAACTGGTAAAGCCATAGATTGACAGCTCATAACTGTTTACTTGTGATTAGAACTCACTTGTTTGTATTAAACAGTGGCTCTTGCTAAGTACAGGAGCCTGGTAAGTGTTTCCCGTCAACTTGATTCTGACTGACAGATAAATCGGGGACTTTGCATGCTGTGATCAGATCACTAACTTTTGTGGTAACCCTGGCAGCAGTAGGCCTTGAGAATCAGTTCACTTTCCCAAGTGGATTGTAACAGGATTTTGAAGCAGTCCATGTCCATATGCAGCATGGCTTGGACAATGACTGGCAAGTAACATTTGCGACACACAAGTGCCAGGAAATGACAATCTCCAACAAGAAAGAATTTAACCATCTCCCCTTGACATTCAATGGCTTAACCATTGCTGAATCCTCAATTGTCAACATCCTGAGGATTACCATTAATGAGAAACTGAACTCCTCCCAGCCATATAGACAGTGTAGCTTTAAAAGCAGATCAGAGGCCTGGAATTCTGAGGCAAATAATTCACCTCCTAACTCCTGAAACCCTGCCAAACATCTGCTCAGTGACAGAAGACTCCCCACTAGCTGTGCAAATCTGACCACGTCCAAAAAACTGAACACCATCCAAGGCAAAGTAACCAGCTTGTTTGGCACCCTTTCAAGCATCTGCAACATTTACTCCCTCCACCATCAATACACAGTGGCAGCACACCCTCGACAAAATGCACTTAGCAACCCACCAAAGTTCCCTCGACAGCATCGTCCAAGCCTACAACCTCTATTGGCTAAAAGAACAAGCATAGCCAATGCACAAGAATATCATCAGCTACAAGACTTCTCCAAACCATAAATCATCCTGACATGGAAATATATTATTGTCCCTTCACTCTCACAAGCTCAAAATCCTGGAGCTCCTTTCCAAACAGTGTCGATGTATCTATTCTTCAAGCACTGCAGTGGTTAAAGAAATCAATTCACTACCACCTTGACAAGGGCAATTTGGAATTGGCAACAAATACTGGCTTAATGAGCGACACTCATATCATGTGAATGAATGAAGAAATGTCCTCTAGTTCTCTCTGATTTCGGTGTGAAAGTGAATTCAAATGGTTACCTTCTAACAAATGGCAAAAGATACGTAGGAGCTTCGCTGTGGCAGCGGCTGTCACCAGGCAATCCCTGGAAGGAGCCTGGGTAACAAAATTCTGGGCTGTGGTGACTCTGATTGTGCTCCAGTCATCTTGGACAGAGGTCGTATTCAAAAGGCTGCAGATGTCAGCAAAGATCTTCCCTGGAAACCTGAATTTCCTGAAGCACTGTTGCGAGGAACATGCCTGCAGAGCCTGTGCTGGGAATTTTTTTTTAATTCATTCACGGGATGAGGGTATCGCTGGCTAGGCAGCATTTATTGTGCATCCCTAATTTCCCAGAGGGCAGTTAAGAGTCAACCACATTGCTGTGGGTCTGGAGTCACTGCCTTCGTGCTGGAGTTCTGTGTTCATCCCCTCTGTCTGTGGACAGGCATACTGAGGAGGAGGAGGAGGAAGCAGCTGCAATTAGAGCTTCTTTTAGTTTTTGGGGAGTTGCTGCTCTTGTTGCTCAAGATCAACACTATGGTTGCTTATGTTGCTCCAATCTGCAGTGAAGGATTAAAACGGAGGATTCAATCCAGGTGAATTAAGTCCAAGACAGGTGAAATTACAACCAAAAAGTTGGAACTCTTTCACGAAATAATGAAATCAGATCCTCTGCACAAGTGCTGTGAGTACAGATCTTTCACAGAGGCAGGAAAGGTGCTATGCAGCATTTAGTGTTTAAAGGCTTCCCAGCCAGTCAATTTCATTGAACAACGGCTCACTGCTGTAGTCTCTTCTTGCTGACCCTTGCAAGTTCCATTTGGATCAGGAAGCCCATGTTCTATCTGAGATAGATAAATTTTTGTTAAGCAAAGGTATTAGGGATTTGGGTCAAAGACAGATATATGGAGTTAGGCCAT